CAATATAAAGTATATTAGAGTTACCATTTCAAAAAATTTTAACATTTGGTAGTCTTAAATATAAGCTACTACAATATAAAAATTAAAAAAATATTTTTATTAAAAGTTTAGTTTACCATATATAATTTACTTTTTGAATATATTATTGTATAAATGGCTCACGGAAGATTGAGCAATTATTCAAAATGTCATTTATTGTTTATTTCAATTAACATTCATATTATAGAACCAAATGCGATGCAACCAACAATGCAATATTTCACACTATTAAGAATGAGTTTACAGGACTCTGACAGAAGTAAAAATTAAAAAAAATTTGGGTCGAATTGTAAAAAATTATAAATTAATAGAAGTATGAATTTTTTATTATATGTTTGTTAAGTAATACATTTAATATGCACAATATCTTGGTATAAAAAATGATATTTTATAGTAAATATTAACATCATTGTATCCATTTTTTAGAATAAGATTTTTTAAAACTATAACAATAACTTGAAAACGTTTTTTGATTAACTTTATATTTGACACAAATATTGATTATAATTGTCTACTAATTAAAGGCTTTTGTCTACTAATCATCAGAGCAAATTTTATAACCATTAGTTATTTATTTATTTTACTAGTTCAAATCTTTTAGTACTATTGTGTATTGAGAGTAGCTGTAAAAAATTTCATGCAAATCGGTTTACTATAGTTTCCGAGATACTTCTGGTACTGATTTTCAAAACACTTTCAAGAAACACTAAAAGGCCGGTATTCATAGTCGGTTCTTATTTCAAAACCGTATGGCTCTGTGATCCATAATATCTTAAGATCGTACTTAAGACGGTCTTAAATATAAGATTCGACTATGAATACTAGCCTAGTAGCTGCATGCTGTGGATAAATTGTTGAATTTTCTTTTTTATCTTACGCAGCATCGTCGATGCCTGGGCCATAGAATACTTATTCCTTTGACGAGCAGCCTCTTCATTATCCTTTTTTTTGCTCTTTACGCCTCGTTCGTTCGTCCTTCGACGAACTCTGCGCAAAGCGTTTCTGGACCTATGTTTATAGGAACTTTCTTGCTCCAAATTCAATTTCCTATAAGACCCTGTAGTTTTATATACCTGGAACACCCTGTATATATGTATACACTCAACGATATGTGATAATTATTGATAAAGTAACACTTAAATCTAGAATAATCAATGTCTAAATTTTTACCATATCCTGTAGTCTCGACCTTAACAATGTAAAATTCTATCTAATTTATTAATTAAAAAAAAATCAGAAAATGTTCGTAATGCGATCAATATACTTCTTTTCCAAAAATATTTTCCGATTCTTACATCTAAAATAATTTTTGAATGATATGCTAACGTTTTTATTTTGATATATAAAATAATAGGAACCGGTTTTACTGTCCTAAATATTTGAGAATAAACGGAAATCTAAATATCAAGAAATTGCAGTTAAATAGACAAGTAAATATCTGATATTTAGAAATAGATGTGTTAATTGATCGTTTAAAATGTTCAAGATCTAAAAATTAAAAAAATTAAAGTTTTTATTATATTACATCGGAAATGTAAATGTATAATTTTTTTAGTTTTTTAAATTTATATTGAAAGATTAAAAAGAAGCAAGTATTAATGGAATATTTTCATAATCATTAAATAATTACATTTAAGAATCGCGAAAGATAAGCAAGTGCGCGGATTATTTATCTTCAGTGAGAGACGGAAAATATAGCTTGTGCCTCGAGAAGTGCAAAAGTGTCGATTTACTATTGATCTTTTACATACAAACAATAGCATCTTAAAAAGTTTATATAGCCGTACCGTCTGCTCCGAACGTAACCGAATAACAAGCGGCAGCTCTGCGACTTTCCGTCACGTCGTCCGCGTCTATACAGACCCTATAATTAAGAGACTGGCCATACTTCTGTCCTGACCAAAATCCTGCGAGAGAGAAGGATATAAGAGAAAAAGAGAAAGCAATATACATTCATATACATTCATATCGCTTTCTCTTTCTTTCTTATATCTCTTTCTCTTTCTTTTCTTTTACTTTTGAGGAAAAATGACGAACCAATTAAAAGTGACCTTCTTACAGCCAGTCTCTGATTAGAAGGTCTCTATCCGCATCTGCGAAAAGGTCCATCTATAATAAATCTATCGTAATGTTAATCGTAACGCTCGCGCGCTCATCGTAGCAGTTCTACTTGGCAACTTGGCCCCTGACATTCTGTTTCGCCATTTGATGTTGTGCGACACAACTACTAACGCATTGCGATTTTATTTTCAATGCGTTATTATAAAATTTCAACTGTTACAGTGAAAAGTGATGCTTATCATTTTTTAGTTAAAAATATTGAATTAATAACATAAGCGGTTAACATTGATGGTGTCCATATATAATACCTAAGTTTGAGCATAAGCTTATTCAATGTCAATGATTGGCTTTAATTAATTTTAGCTCTGGAAAAATTTAAATTATTATCAGATATGAATTTAATTAAATAATTAAAGTTATTTAATTAAAATAATTATTTTATCCTTAATATTTATATATCAAAATAACTTTTCAATCACATTTAAGTATTTTCTATTATTTTGGTGTTTTAATAATATTTAGGTTATTAAAACGTTTAACATATTTTTTCTATATATTATTTGGAGAAATTTTCTCATTTTTCTGAGAAACTTTCCTCTTAAAAAATATTTTTAACGAGATTATGAGATATTAAACGATACTCATCATTATTCATTTTAGCATTCTTTCTATGAAAATCAGCGTTCATGTTGCAATGCACAATTATTTCATATTTTTTATATGAGTATTTAAGAATAGATATTAAAACAGTTTTATATGTGTAATTGATTTTTTCAATATACAAGGCGTTTGATAATACAAATCTGTATAATTGTTGTGGTCTGAAAAAGAAAATATTGAATCCGAATCCGCAAGCGAAAATGTTCTATCACGTTGATGTACGTTTGCACGATAAAGTACGACATTTGCCGTATACTGGACGTCTACAATACCATTGCAAATAAAAATGTTTTTGTAAATAAAAAATAATTATTGTTTAAACAATTTTTGAAAATAATAATTTTATAAAAAATTAAATTTGTTATCAGTTGTACAAAAAGATATTATGGAAGATACATGTAACGTGAAATTTTTATTATTTGCAATGGTTTTACAGAGTTCCAGAATAGAGCAATATACATGCGAACGTACACATACCAACTTTTAAGAACAAAGCGCGCCCGAGATCGATGGTGCAGTAAAACATTTCATATTCTCATATTAAAGTTCAAGCTTTAATTTGAGTTTTGAAAGTCTTTTACACATCGGGTTCGTCATCTGCAAATTTTCAAAAACGCGGGGCTTTAATCTCATTTCTCTTGTAAACTTGACGTGATAGAACATTTTTGCTTGCGGATTCGGATTCAGCGAACAAAAACTACAGAAAACTATACTCTTTTTTTCCAGACCATAGAGAGAAGTAAATGCTGATCTGTGTAGGTGTAACACTGGCTCGCAGGTAAATAAAGAGGGTTAAATTGTGTCGCATGAACATGCACAATCACGCATCTTTGTATTTTCGCGGTCGATTTTTATCGAAAAATTTTCCGATTAATTTTTTAATTTTGTCCGCATTATAAATTTCAATTTTTTGCGAGATATAATTAAGATATTCATATAACGCAAAGTAAAATTTTTTAATGTAGATACTTGATTACAATTCCAAATTTAAAAAACGGTTATTCAATATTCTCAAGTAGATAACAGAATTAGTGATAGAAATATTATTTAATGTTTAATTGAATTGTTGTACAGTTAGTTTTATGAATTAATATACATATATTGTTTTAATTATTTTCTCGTTGTTTTTGATACAATCGATGCTCGCGTGTAATTCGAATCGAACGTAATATTATCTTCCGCCGATGATAATAATCCGACAAAGAAAGAAACAAAGAATTTTTCTCCTTTTTGATCTGGTCGAAATGTGACCAGATTGCATATGGCCAGAAGCGACAAAGATAAGTCCAGTCTGGCCCGAAGAAGATTGGATACATTAAAGGTAAGTAGTCAACATTGACCACATTGCAATGGTGAAATAAGGTAACATAAAATTATTTTATATGTATTTATTTATTTGCCTCAAAGAGCTATCTTCTCTATATTTTCTCGCATAAGTATGAGATTGGAAAAACCGCAATTAAATCCCAATAAATCAATGAGTCAAAAAGTACTGAGTCATTTTTTTCTATAAAGCTCAATAAAGCAGTAATTATTGAATAAAATCAATCCACTCATAACCATTTCTACCAATGTAGATTAGCTTTTCTTGACTCTATCCTCGTTTTACATCTTATTTTTTAGCTTGAAAATGTAGACAAATACTCATATTCTCAACTCTTTTTTAGCGTAAAAGCGCGCTTTTATTTCTGAGATGCTGTAGTATATGTAACATGAATTATAGCATTTCAAAAATAAATGCGCGCTTTTATCGATAAAAAGAGAGTTGAGAATATGGGCCAAGATGTATACCTTTAATCTAAATGTTTGATTACTGAAATCGCAATTAGAAACAAATTAAGTTAACTGACTTAACTATTAGCAAGATTTAAACAAAATATCAATATATTTATATTTATTAAAAGTTCACATATGTCTCTTAGACTTTCTCCAAACAGTTGCTCCAAATATTTTTCTTGGCAGTCATTATGTCATACTTAATAATAATACACACTTTATGATAGCTGAGCGGATATAATGTCGCAGAGTCGAAATAACACGGTGTGGGATCATTTTGAAATATTAAACAGTACTGAAATAAAATGCAACATTTGTAATAACATTTATAAATATGATCTATCCAATACGAAAATATATACACTTAAGAGAACATAATATATATTTAATGAAGAAAATCACTTAAAATGGCGCGTATTTTTTTCTTATTGACTCGCTACATTTACAAAATAAACGCAAGAATAATTGCTTTAATTAGTTTTATTCTTCTTAGGTTTATTATTGCTTCTATAAAATGCATCGAGATTATATTTGTCGTATTTCGGATCTTTTAAGACGACATATTTCCAGTGCAGAATTTCGCCGAATAAAGCTAGGAAACTGAGGAGATAACCGATCCCGAGAGCAATAAGAGCGCCGTATAACTTGGGTAGATCTACTAACGCGATCTCGGATTTTGATCTTTGCCGTGCCTCATTGATCTTTGACCATTCCATGACATCACTCAGCCATTTGCGCACCAAACCGACTTCTGTCATCCGCCTCACCTAAAATGCGAATTAAAATATGCTAAATAACTTGATTTTATAAAAACCTAAGCAGAACAAAAAGTCATGATCGATGAGATCATGACGTTAAAAATTGATTTAATGTGTTAATTTAACTGAATTAAAAAATCATCTGTCTTCCGAAAGATAAATTCTCTGTATATAGCGTTCTAAGTGTATATAAATAAAATTTATTTGATATTTAATTTAATTTCAAATAATAAAAGAACAATTTTACTTTGTCAGATTTGGCGCTGAGAACAAAAACATTATATTTATATGTTTTGATAAATAAAATTATTCTGATAAAAATATATTTTATAGAAGAGCAAGCTCTTCTCGTGTTTCTCAGCATGCTGCGTTCGCAATAATTCCCCCCCGCAGCTAATTACTCTTTAATATCGTCAAGCAAAGTATACCCATAAATCCACGTGGGGCTTGAGCGGAGAATTCTTTTCCATCCCTAACGCGATCGGCATATGGACGAAACATTCCTCCATAATATGTAGATTGTATTTCACTGACGATTTAGTGTTTTTCTCGCTCATATTCTGCCGATCATCTTGCTTCTCGAATATCCGCCTTCCGCGAGCGTGTTGCAATAAATATGAGTTCTCGTAGTAACAGAACCTCCCGTTCGCCACTCGATCAATCGCATCCTCCTCGTTTTCCGTCAACTCGTATTTATTGCCGATCTCGAGACTGTGCGAATCCGAGGAGGCGAGGAAGAACTCTTTGCCCTCTTCGTTCCATCCTCCTACCGCTAGCGACGATCTCGTCAGCTGCGCTAAAGTATCGATAGTTACTCTGCAGTGACAAATAAATAAATGGCGTTAACTGTTGGACATGACAGAACGGGAATTATCTTTAATTCGATATTAATTCAATTAACTAATAAAAAATACGACCTTGTTGTCTATTAAAAGCTGCGGTATTCCTAGTCCGATCTTATATTTAAAATCGTCTTAAATATTATACTATCTCGAGACGCCGTACAGTCGTTTCATTGGCTGGATGAAGTATTAAGACCGCTTATGACCCGATTTAAGATCTTAAATATAAAATCGGACTGTAAATACTGTCCTTAGTTTGTAATTTTTTACTTCCGAGCGTTAATAATAATTCGAATGTGTGCAAACGACTCGACGTTTCCGTCAAGAAAATTTCAAATCTACGACGAGAAGAACACATCCGAGATCCTTTATACACATCCTGTAAATATCATCGTGTACTGTACTTAGCGGCAGGCTTTGACAGGGTCGCCGTCATGCTGGCGCGGTAAATGACGGCTGCCAGGATGCTGTAGATCCACCACCAGCCGATGAAGACCCTCACAGTCCAGGCGTTCGGCAAACGCGGTAGAGAGACTTGGAGTAACATACTGTATGTGTACAGCACACTGTTCTGGAGCTCGGTGAACAGATACAGACCCTTCATACTGTCGTACGCGTCCAATTTGTCGTGTTTCACAGACTCACGCGAGTCTATGTATTTCTGATAGAACACCGCAAACACGTGGAAAGCTACGCCGGCCAACAATAGGGTGCAAAGAAGCGTTATCCACGCGTTCAGCCTTGAAATGTGAAAAATGTAACGTTACGCGATATGTGCAAAAAGATTAAAGGAATAAACCGTTTTTCTGAAACTTTTCTGAAATATATATTCATTTGGCAAAAGTTTAAAGGAATAATTGCTAGTCATTTGGGTTAATTGCAGTCTTGTACTGTTAATTCTTTTAAAATCTTTTTCAATTAATGATTATTCGTACAATAAGCGTACGAATTGTGATAACGTACCTGAAAGGTAATATCAGTAATTTCCATGAATTATCGGTTAAAGCTTCCGGCGTTAAAAAGGTAAGGCATTCCGTATTATACGGTGTAGATAGGTCGAAATAATTCAGATGATATAGTGTATAATGTAGATCTCCGAGGAAAAAATCAGCATTTTCGGCAATCGCCTCGCCGATTAGGCCCGTGTAGCTATCGTTATCTCCCTCATGGCCCCATCGTCCCCATCTCTCCTTCTCGATGTTAGCAGGCATATAGTAATTCGTTTTAAAGTTCATCGCCCTTGCTATGACTCGGATTAACTGAAACAATGAGCCTTCCGTCAACCGTGATCTCTAATTTTTTTATCTAAATTAAAATCTAAAAAACAGTAAGACGAAAATAAGGCGAGAGATAATTTTGTATTTATTCTTATGCACTTGAACATGCTTGGAAAGAGAGATGTTGTTTTTCTAAAATTTTGTAGAAACTTAGACATTTGAAACTTTAGATCAGTTTGCAATAAAGAAAATAAAAAATTAATATCTAACAGAGTAATTAATTAATTATATTCCGTTATATAAATCAGCTGGGATTTAGTTGCATATTTCGTTGTTGTCGCCTACTATCCTCTTCTTGCAAAATCGAGTGTATTATCTATATTATAATAAATAATTGCTAATTTATATTTTGTTGACATCATGTTTGATACTTTTTATAATTACTGTTTTTAATTTTAGTTTTCATTTTTTATTCTTTTTTCTATTTTATTTGTGGCTTTAATACGTACTTCGAATTCGATACCCAAAGCCTTAGGACTTGTAGTTGTTGTACTTTGTTGGTAGTAATCTCGCGATGCTTCCGTCACGGCCGGTATATGTTCGAAAACTGCAATTCTACAAGTTTTGTTGGAAAATTAATCTAACCTTATGGGACTGAAATAGATCATTACATTTTTCACTCTGCGATAAAATTTAGAAACTTGAAAGTTACAAAATTCTATTAAAGCAATATCTTTTTTGACTTGAATAAATATATGTTGAGAGCCAATTATATAATGATAATTATTGGAATTTATCATACGTGTCCCAAGCTCTTCATTAAAAAATATTAAAAAAGATATTTGAGGTAAATCACAATTTGTATACAGTTTTCTTAATTTGCAAAGTTATCTTCAAGTCCGAAGTTATGATCTGCAAAACAAGTCTCGCAAAAATCCCGAGAATTATGAGCCTCATTAAAATTTTCATGCATTTATTGACAAATGTTACGTACTAACCGCAAACTCATGCCACGTAGGTCCGTAGTTTTCGGAATGTAGTGATTGTTACCGTAACGCAATTTGCCATTCTGCCACGTATCGATGTACTTGATCGCCGTGAAGTCTCTGGTATACGACGGATAAGAAACGGTATTGAGATCGATTTGTTCCACGGTAATTCGTTCACCCGAACGGTAATTGTATGTGTTGTATCGTCGTATGAACACCACGTTTACAATTCGATTCCAGATGTAATGCAATTCGGGCCTGAACAGCCGATTGTCATGCAGAAGTAAGAAGTAACCGCGCGTGTTGATCAGACGTTCTCTGCGGAGGTCGTAAGAGCGATTCAGCGTATGAAAGAAATTAAAAGGATAAACATTTAATTATACAAGCCCCGGCAATAATATGAAGTTACAGCGCCGAATATCTTGGGGAAAGTAAAATCAAGACCTTAGAAATAATTTTGCGATTCTATAATAAAAATAATTCAATTTATAATGTTACTTATTAATTTTCAATTTGCACATTTTTCAATTAACACGTATTGAATTACTTAGAAATATTTAGAAATAAATGGATAATTAACTGAAAATGTTAAAATTAATAAGTAACAAGGAAAAAGTGAACTTTGAAAGTCAAAAGAAATAATTCGTACAATTTATAACTTTGTATTAAATTACTAATTAACATAACATTAACACGCGCAACTAATCGCGTTTGGCTTTCAAAGGTAATTTTTTCCTTATCAATTGTTGAATTATTTATGGCAACTGAGCACTCTCCGATAGACAAACGTAAAATCATTATAATTCCTTTAATGACTAACATAATTGTTAATTATTAGTAAGTCTGTATTCTTGATTTCACGCAGTCTCGATTGTTTACCCTTCGACATATTGCAGGAATTGTGACGTTAGCAGCCCATTGCTGATTAGTATAACATATGCATCGCAACCTTTGACTTGTTGAAGCGTTCTCGCTATTTTTTTCCTTGGCGGTGAAAACTTTTCGTTATCGCGTACGGCGATCTGAGAAGAAAAAAATGCGACAAAAATATGTATGATAAAATCGCTTTTATCATAAATGTTCATATGATAAAATAATGCCGTTTCGTTATCGAATCTGATTAGATGCAAAATAAGAGCAAGAACGATCAGCTTTTAACTGACAAGTTGACTTGAGCGGAATTAATTAAGTTTCAAACATTTACCTTTAAAATTTAACTATATAATAAACATTTAACTATAAATTTTATTAAAATCATATATGGTGAACGAAAACTTCCGCTCGGAATATTAATCGCAATACTTACATCGTATCTCAAGAAGGAAGATATTTCGATGGCACGCACATCGATTAGTCGACGATAAGCGGGATCGGTAATGAAAACTATGCAGTTGCTGTGCGTGGCGATCTCCTCTACGATTTGTTCGACCACCGATTTCAGACCGTTCGCTTTGCGTTCGCACCATCGCAGTCTTTCCAAGCTTCTGCAATACATGCATAAGAACAGTTTTTCAATAAATTCTACTACACATGCAATGTTATTCATCGGGATAAATAACTAGCACCACAGAAAAAGGCGCAACGATTAGATGCGAGTATCGAATTTACATCGCTTTTTTAAGAGCGAAAACTGTAAAGCATTTAGCAACACGCAACAGGATAAAATCGCGCAACGCCTCGTAATTTCACATTTCTTCAACGACTCTCAGCATTCTTCCTCGAGATCAATCGATTTCGAATCGTTTCTCTCAGTCGGTTTTTAATTTTTCGATATCCATAGAA